GTATAACTCCACGCCTTTGCCTCTCCATTGTTGTTGTCCTTGAGCAATCTGTGCACTGGACTTCATTCTCTCTCATATTACCTTAGGAATGGATCTCATATTACCTTAGGAATGGAGGAAAGCGCAATTGGTGCCGGCTGTTGTATACCATAGAACGCAACCTTCAAGGATCTTTGGACTTCGAGGATCTTCTGGAGCAGGAGTCGATCCACGGACCTCGAGCTTTGATTTCAGGGACGGCAACCAACAAGAAGTTGATTAAGTGAAATGTGAGAGGCAGCAGTCGGTGGTCGGTGGAGAGGGTCAACCACATCATCGTGAAAGCCCTGGAGATCGAGACACCTTCCTTGCACAAAGGCGTTAGGAAAGGGCAAGTTGCTGGACGATGCTGTTGTGAATGGAACGGCTCTGCATGGGATCGCAGAGGACTCATTCGTCGGACTTCTGGCGGACACTAACAAAGGTCGATCTGGCAGTCGGTCAGGGTTGTTGGCAAGGGGGCGCAGGATGCGGGGTCTTATTCGTTTACCGGCGATCCGTTGGAGACAGTTTGGTCAGTGCGCCCGTGAATCTTCCAGCACTGCATCGTCTTGTGAATTAAATGCCACCACGGCAACAAGGTGATGTCAGTGCAACAGACCCTCAGCAAGCAGGTCTTCTTTGGCGGGTGTGACGGTGGATGGTGGGCTGGGTATCGCGAGTCCTGACTCTGACATGCAAGTAATGGACGATTTTTCTTGGAATGAGATCACAGGACAGGTACGGAGGGAGGAGATGTCAGAAGAAAGACGGCCATTTGTGACACAGAGGGTTGCTTACAAGATGAGAAGACACGCGTGGAGCATCAAGAAGCTGAAAGGAAGGGTTGCACCCAAGAGAAGACACGGAGCATCCACATGACGAATCGAAGGCGTCCGTGTCCTACAAAAGAGTCCCAACGCTTTTGCCCTTTGTGTATGGATAAGATGATCGTAGAGGAGGTGGGTTGCCGAAGAGGTGGTCGCACTGTGGAAACTGCGTGTGGAGCTGCGTCGATTGAGCTAGCCAGCAGGATTGTGAAGGTAAAAAAAGTGTATATAGTGTATTTTTGATGACGGACTGTATATGAAAGCAACTCAATTTTGGGCATTGTGCACATTCCCTTATATCTGACCGCTTCATCCTGTTGCAGTCTGCAGCTGGCTGCAGTGTGTTGACACCTTTTCCAAATATTTGAATGGCATGTCTGTGCGTTGGGAGATGATGAAGATTATTCTTGCTTTTATATGCCACTGAGTCTGATGTGGAACGCCATGGCCAATTCATTTGGCTGCAGTTCATTCATCTTTAATCAGCAGGTGTTTGTATTTCAGGGATTGCTGCCATCCTCCTTTCGTGGCTTGGTTATTATTGTCGGCTCTACCATGGTGATTGCAGTCTCCTACTCTTATACTCCCCATCTCGATTTCTTTTCTTTCCTCTCCGAACCCTCACATCTTTTTCCCTCGTCTTTTCGTGCATTTTACTTTTTGATCTCCGTCTTCTTCCTCTCTCTCTCTCTCTCTCTCTCTCTCTCTCTCTCTCTCTCTCTCTCTCTCTCTCTCTCTCTCGCGTGCGCGCGCGCGCGCACACACACACACACACAGAGACACACTATCTGTACTTTTGCGTTATGGATGGTTTGTTATGATTTGTGGAGGAAACGAGAGAAAGAATTTGGGGTGCTTTAGCAACACATATTCCCGTCTTGCTAGCTCTCTGCCTTGGCAGATTTGAGCGGTTAGGATCGGGCTCGTACCAATACTCTTTCCTCTGTGTTTTGTTGGTTTGTTTTTTTATGCATGGCCTAATTCTGTGCCCTGCTTTGCAGCATGGGCTGTCTTGTCGAGGAAGTAATGTCTGTGGGTGGCCACAAGTTTTTCCTGGTGTGGGAGTGTGAGGTTTTGGCCACAATATCTCTGCGAGGAGGCTCAGAGAGTGTTTGCTGTGGGTGTCATTCTGGCGGGCTGCTCTTTCAGAGCACATGGAGAATGGGGTAGCTTACAAGCTTCTTGGGTGTTTTAATCAGTAGCATTCCTGGTGTCGCGTGGCGATCTTGTGGAATGCGGCATAGTACTAGCAGTAGCCTCGCTGTAGCAGTAGGACATCATCCGATTCTGCAGGTTGCGCGGCAGGGGAAGGTTCATGGCACTCTTGGTATTGCGTACAGGTCCTGCGGTGTATTTTTTATTTTTGTGGTGGCGTTGTAGGCCGTCACAGAGGGCTCTGTTTATTTTTTTAGATCGTTGGCATGTGTGATTGGTGCTTTTTTGTTAGCGTAGCCTTTGTGGGCCGATGTGTAGGGCTCTCCCAAATATGTTTTGGGACCTCTGGCCGATGGGGTAGGTACTCTCTTTTGCTGGTGGAGTCTGTCTTAGGTAAGTTGCTTTTTGCCCTTTGCCCTTTTATGGATCAAATAAATATATGTAAATATGTATATGTGCAAGTGGGCCGCTTCGGCGGCGGACGGGTGTGTGGGCACTTGGCGCTGACCCACACAAACGTGGCCAACCTTGCATGTTGTCTATCTATACTTTTTCGTTATGGATGGTTTGTGATGACTTGTGGAGGAAATGAGAGAGAGAATTCGGGGTGCTTTAACGGCACACACACACACACACACACACACACACACACACACACACCCACTCACACACACACACACATACACACACACATACACACACACACGCACACACACACACATGCACACCCACCCACAGACACACACACACACCCACACACACACACACACACACACACCCACGCTAAACACGGATCAAAATGGTTCTATTATGATCCGACCATGAATGTGATGATGGTGATGATGATCTTGAGGTTGATGACGATGATGCTGGCAGCGACGGCGGCTGCGATAGTGGTGCTGAAGGTGGTGGGGAGGGTAGTGGTGATAGGGCAGGGGGCAGTCGTGGTGATGATGATGGCGGTGGTGGTGGCAGAGGTGGTGATGGCGGCGATGGCGGCGGTGGAACTGCCACCGTATTCGTAGGATGCTGGCCCTCCTCCCTTGCAGCCACTTCGGCCAAATTTGTTGCGATTGGTTCGGTCTCCTGTCGGGTTGGCGTATTCTCATTAGCATTTGGAATTTCAGCTGTGGAGGGCTGATGTTGGTCGGGCTGTGGGATGTTTCCTATTGCGTGCGGTTGTGCGAAAGACCTGCGAACAAATTTTGCATTCGGGAGTGGGTGGGCAAGCGTACCATGCGTCGAAACCAGTTCGAAAGCCGTGTAACATGAGTGGGTAACTGGCGCTGCCGGCCGCGCACGTATGCATTCCAACCTCTGGCCAGGACACTGGGGGGATGGCCTCTAATGAGCATTCGTTGTGTGAGGGAAGTCACTGCAGCCTTAAAGTCGGCAGTATTGTTGCAGATGTGTTCAAATCGTGTCAGCTGCCCTGTGAGTACACCTGCAGGCTGATGAGCTGGGGCATTAGAGGAAGCGCCGGGGTAGCATATGACAGGGAATGTCCAGGCCTCAGCCTTRTCAAAGACGCCGATGCGAAGTGAGTCATCCGGCCGAACCAGGATTCTTGCCCCAAGGAAAACACACGACCCATCTTGCTCAGTAGTGTCCTTCCACTCAAGACCATATCGAGTAGGAGGGGGCGGTAATGTCTTCCAAGATAAGATGYCATCAATGARTCGGTACGTAAATGCATGTGCTTGCGCAGCGCGTAGATCCTGCTGTCGTAATTCATCGATGAACTGTGCTTCGTCCCAATAAAGCGTAAGGTTGGCAATTTCCGGTCCAGTGTTAGTGCCCATAGGGATGCCTACCACCTGATGATGCAGAGTGCCATCCCTTGTGTAGAGATAAGTATTCGACACCACAAAACGCAGATGCTGTTCTATCTCTGACATGGAAAGGGTGTCTGATCACTCGGTCGGAGGTTCCGGCATGAAGTAACCCACTCCCCGCGATGCGGACCTCCTAAAGTCATGTACATTTGTACTGGCCTTCTTCCCTGCGGGATACGCAACAAGGCGTAATCATGTGCTTCACGAACCGCATTTAGGACATTGTTAAGAATCCTATCATGTGGCAGGTTAGTGTACATGGTTGTGAAATCTGCCGTATGGGGCGTACAGCCTCGAGGGGATGGTGCATTTTGCTTGAGATCTAAGATGATTTCCTCAGCACTCTGTACGATCCAACAACGTCGTACACCTACTTCTTGATAAAGCTCATTGTCCTTACTGCGCAGAGACTTGATCGCGCCTTGCAGAGCATAGCTAAGTGAGCGGGAGGCCATTGTTGTACTGGCAAGAGGCTTATGAGGGGGTCTGTTATGCAAACTGGAGACCGAAGACTGGCGAGGTATTGTGCGAAGTGAAGACCGAGAAAGGTTGTTTTGTTAAGTAACACCGAGAATTGGGCGAAGACCAGGCGGGGATTTATGTGCTTTAAGTGCAAAGTAGAGATAGGGCAGGGTGTCAGTATGTCGATAGCCTCAACGCTGATTGAAAAGCGCATGGTGGTCAAGGATGCTGGCCACAGATTCCGATGTCGAATCGTAGGTAGGACTATCAAGGTGCTGTGATAACTTATACGCGTACCAGCGCTTGCAGCAGATTGCCATGTTGTGCGATGTTTTATCAATAGGCGCTATAGCAAATTGCTGTTGTAGCTCCCGTAGAGATGTATTAGCAGCACGCGAGACAGCTTGAGTGGGTGCTTGGTACTGTGACGTAGATAGATTCCGTTGGCATCTTGAAAGAATTGTTGTGCGTCATCTGCGCAGCTGAGAGAGACGGTCGGCAATTAGAGACTCGTTGTTGTGTGCTGATCTCATGGCTGCTATGAACTTGGCAATATACTCATCCAGGCCGAGTTTTAATGCTTTCATCACATCTGTGGTGTTGGCATTGAGGCGGTACTTGGAGCCTTCAAAGAAGAGAGCCCGCAAGTGTGTATCTTGTATAACATTGTAGTGCACTGTAGCTACATGACCATCAACAATGTCCGCATAATGTGGAAACGCTTGTCGGCAGGGACAATTGGCAGGGTCTGGAAGAGGCATATTGCTTGTTATGGTAAGTGCCACTTTTGTAAAATTGCAGAACTGGACACGAATGGGGGGCACCATCTTATCACAGATGCGTATCTCCTTGGCAAGAGCAGGTCGTGGGTGTAACTCAGCGACCTCTGGTAGCCGAAGGACGCCTCGTAGTTGTGTGGTGCGAGCAACCTGATGCATGTGCATAACTTTAATAAAATTTAAAAATTGAGCCCCATTATGTCCAGGGCTGAGATATGGTTGGCGTGAATATTGTAGACCACGGATCATGCATTCCAGTTGTCGAATGTTCGATGTGAGCTCAGAGTTGGAGACATTCATTAGCAACCATTGCAACAAGCAAGAGCGCCAGGCAGAGCTGGCTTGAGAGAGGGCACGAGATATGGATTCCCATTCCGAGTTGGCTGCCTGTGTGAGCATGTGATGCAGGGCTGAGCGCACAGCAAAGAAGGGACCCGGGGCAGTGTCAATCGTGAAGGGCCTATCAGCAGAAGTTTGCACTGCAGGGCGGGTAGCAGGACTATTCGGGCGGCCTCTCGTACAAATCCACCTGTTCGGGCGACGAGACCGTCTGACTGGCGGTAATCGCCCTTGTGGGAGGACGCTGTTAAAGCCCCGAGGATATAACGTGGACAGGCGTCGGACCCAAAACCCTTCACGAGGAGCAGCAGCACGTTTAAATGATTCTGGATCAATGGAACCATCAGCATTCAGATAGAAATGTGGATCAATACACTCCAAGGGCCAGACAACAAAATGAAATGGAGGTTGCCTGGCCATGGAGTGATAGAGGTAACTATGGCGTGAGTGTGTCGTTTGAGATGAATGACGGGAGTGCCAGTGCTGCTGTAAATGATAGTGAGCGGAATATGTCGTCTGCCCAACATATGTGCAGCCAGACGGTATGTGAACAATAGCATAAATAACCCCAGGGGCTGATAGAGCATCCATTCCTGGTTGAATGAGGCTCTGATCAATGCCTCGTAATTGCAGTTCAAATTGTTCCACGCGGGCCGCTGCTGCTATATAGCGGAGCCGCTTCTTAAACCAGCGACCCGCGTCATAGAGACCAGTATTCCATTCATGATGTGCAACCCAGTCAACTCTATTAGGCTGCCACGCATAGCGGTGACTGGAGGAAGAGTGAGGGGGGTTAGCACAGGGAGGATCGCAAGAAGGATATGTGGTTCGTGCCGCGCCACCGGCACAGGGATCCCCGTTCAAATCCCTTTCCTGATTCTCACGTTGCGTTGCTGACATCATAGGGTGAAGTATTTCTTAAATTTCGGAAATTTTACTCTCTAAAGTGGAACAAGTTTATAAAACCTGGTAGAGGAGGAAAAGAAAGTAGTCAAAAAGTCCAGGGTTTTAGGCCCGTTGGCTCAGCTCAGGGAGGCTGCCGACTTCCCATGCAGGAGGTACTCGCCACAAAGTTGTCCAAGTGATGGCTCGGCTAGTATGCAGAATGCCTCCACCTGTCAGTGTGCTCTGGGCAACCGTGCCAGACGCCGGGCACAACAGGATTAGCTATTCTGTTCGGAGGAGGTGTCCGATCATCACCCGAAACTTTGTGTACAAGGTTTATGTCAGGGAGAACGTCCAGCAAGGGTGAGATGAGTAGGAGTACTCCGCACCTGAGTTTGGCACACCTTGGGTGGGGAGCTAACTATACTCACTGCGCGGAAGGAAAGGGCAAGAAACTGCGCCCTTACGGTGACTGCCACCACAGGACATGGGTTCCTGAAGCAAAACCAGAGGGTCAATCACATGGACAAGGCAAAGGCCAAAATGTTAGTACAAGTCAGGTCAGTTTCAAAACATAACAACGAAATCATAGCACCAGGCGAGACAGACGTCGGACCCAAGGCAGACTCACATTTCTGGACGGGAGACATATCGCTGTAGCAAAACAGTTCAATCGACTATAATATAAGAAGCCCTTGTATTTGTCCGGGCCAAGCATGTTGAATAAATCCGGAATTTTGCAATGATCACAGACCTCATGATGCACATCCAACTTACAACAAAGTATGACCTGCTAGTACAAGTCCGATCCTAGCCGCTCAATCCACAAGAGCAGAGAGCTAGCAAGACCAGGACGTGTGTTATAAGCTTCCCCCACAACAACCCCTATTCCAACCAGATGAGTAGAACCGGACTGAGTCCGCCCAACACTTAAAAAAAAAATTCTTTAACAGGCAGCACGAATCATAATAGAACCATTTTGATCCGTGTTTAGCTAGGGTTTCTTTGGGGCGACAGCTCCTCTTTGGGCCAGTACAAATATACATGACTTTAGGAGGTCCGCATCGCGGGGAGTGGGTTACTTCACATGGATCAGACACCCTTTCCGTGTCAGAGATAGAACAGCATCTGCGTTTTGTGGTGTCGAACACTTATCTCTACACAAGGGATGGCACTCTGCGTCATCAGGTGGTAGGCATCCCTATGGGCACTAACGCTGGATCGGAAATTGCCAACCTTACGCTTTATTGGGACGAAGCACAGTTCATCGATGAATTACGACAGCAGGATCTACGCGCTGCGCAAGCACATGCATTTACGTAC